TGACCTCGGCACAACAGGACCCAGTCGCCTCTATGGCATGGGCAGACTCCGAGAGTGGGCCACGAGTCACTCCTCCAGCCTAAGGGCTGAAACACCGAGCTAATAAAGAAACCTCGGTAGCATACAAAACTAAGTTTCCCCATCAGCATGAACTAAGTACTTGCAGCGCCTGAGGTGCAAACGGCTCGGGCACGAACCTTACAACGAATAGCCCGCCTTGGCATGCAAAGGGTTGGACCCGTTAAGGATAACAGACGGCGACCTACCTCGGGTGCAGACAGGTCGAGCAAGCGCCCTACTATATCCCTCACCCCGGCGTACACAAGGTTACCCCTACTAAACAGTTCGGGGCCACGATGACCGTTAAGGAACACCCACTTCGGAAGTTCAACTCGATAGGTTAACAACTTGGGGTGAGATAACCATTTCAACAAAAATAAATTGCACAAACTTTTGACAAAAAGAAAAAATCTCTTCATTGCAGAAGATTCATTACATGAATTCCATTAAGAACATCTTGATTACAAGAAAGAAAGATGGAGAAGATTAAGTTTACAAATACAGGGAGCAAACTACTTCGGAAGCTCGTTGCCTCTGTTAGGGATCTGCTCGGGGGCAGTAACTGGGTTAGCATCCTCTGCTTCATCTTCGGCGTCCTCATCTTCAGAGTCTGGATCATCTTTTGACTATCGCACGATGTCATCAGTGATCCGTGAAGTGGTGATGGCGCTCGTATCCAGGTCGGGGTAGAGGTGCCTGATTAGCCACCGACTGATCTTGAAGTCCTTGCAGTAGGCCTCGGTCATCACGTCGTCAAACCTTGAAGATTTGACATAGTCGATGACGGCCTGAGTCTTGGCCTCCTTGAGAGCACCCTCGAAGATCGCGGCCTTCTCTCTTATATCTTCTTGGATGTACTCCACCTCGTGCTCCAGCTTCCCCTTTGCCTCCTTGAGGCCTTGCATCTTGAGCTTCAGGGCATCCCGCTCAGCCTTGAGGCTATTCACCTCAAGCCCTAAGGCCTCTTGACCGACCTTGAGCCCGTTTACCTCGGCCCTCAACTTATCTTTGCCTCGGGCCAGCTCCCCCTTCTCTACCATTAACACCTCGATGAAGCTCTTCTGAGCCGAGGCGTCACTCTCCAGGCGGTGGACCTGACAGCGAGCTACCCTCAACTCAGTATGGGCTGCGCGGGATGACTTCTCAGCCTCCAGAGCCTGCCACAAGTGCCGATCTGATTGAAG